AGTACAGGAGTGGGTGTAGTCTATAAATGTACATGATAGTACAGGAGTGGGTGTAGTCTATAAATGTACATGAAAGTACAGGAGTGGGTGTAGTCTATAAATGTACATGAAAGTACAGGAGTGGGTGTAGTCTATAAATGTACATGAAAGTACAGGAGTGGGTGTTGTCTATAAATGTACATGAAAGTACAGGAGTGGGGGTAGTATATAAATATACATGAAAGTACAGGACATGGATAGTTTATACATACTTTGTATCACATTGAACACGAGACAATGAGAACATGGATAGGTTATTTATAATTTGTATTACATAAAAGACGAGATAATGAAGACCTGGATAGGTTATATATATAATTTGTATCACATGTAATACGAGACAATGAGAACATGGATAGGTTATTTATAATTTGTATTACATAAAAGACGAGATAATGAAGACCTGGATAGGTTAGATATCTGAGGATCTTACAAAATACTACTGATGCAGATAATGTTTCCATTTGCTTCTATAAATATTTGAACTTCTGAATAATAGCAGAATGATGTTATTATTGAGATTTGTATGTTTTTCATATTTCTACAGACGGTTTGACTGACTGTGCCGATAGCGAGTGCTGTAGACACGAGGTGTGTAAGGACAACGTACTGTGTATGTCATCTCCCGACCCTCTAGATATTCTCCTCAGAAAACAGCCGCCGGCTGTTACTGCATCTTTTTACCAGAAAATGAAATTTTTGATAGATGAAGACAGCGTTCAGAACTATCCACACAGAGACGAGTTTTCGGAAAGGTATGAACTCCCAGTTGTTGTTTACGTTTTATTTATTTTGTATTTTTGTAAACGAGCATGAAAAAGGTAACATCATTTTTATTAAACGTCACCAATTCGTCTCTGTCTTGTGACATCAAATAGTTTTTTATTATCATAGTCGTCAAAAGTAAAACCAACTAATTATGTCAGAGACCAAATATAGAGAGGTTTTAGGATCTCGTCCTGCCTATTTTTTCTCGTCTACCTGGGGACAAGGCCCACAGTTCCGTGTAAAGTACACAGTATACATTATCTACGTATGTCAGAGACCAAATATAGATAGGTTTTAGGATCTCGTCCTGCCTATTTTTCTCGTCTACCTGGGGACAAGGCCCACAGTTCCGTGTAAAGTACACAGTATACATTACCTACGTTATTATAGTCTTAGTGGTTTTGTCCGTTTCCGGTCAATAGTGAGATTTGATGTTATCTGTGGTCACTTCCTCTAGGCCTATTCCCTATACGTTGCTTTCAATGAAAATTTCTTTCAGGATTTGTTAACAATTTAACTGAAAATTGGATACACCAAAAAAGTTTCTGTTGTTTATAAAATCGATAACCTCCCAATGACTCAACGATAAATCTGAAGGCTTATAACGTTAAAATCCGGGTTTTGATACTCGTGGTGGGAACAACATAGATAGCCCATTGTATATCTTTGCTCTTAGTAACAAACAAACAACAAATACTCCCCGATGAGACCGCGGCAGATCTACAGAGTAACAATGCTAAAATCGGGGCTTGATCCCAGAGAAGGACACCGCAGATAGCCTAGTGTGACTTTGCTTTATATAAAAAATACAAAAATACATATAAGAATGAAAATGTAATATATTTGCTAATCTTCTTTTAAACTAATTTCGGCTTTATGAATAAAATCGTTTCAATAAAACACTGTCAAGTCGTTTCAAATCCCTTTCAATGCTACATTACATTTTCATCTACAATAAAGCAGTAAATTCTAAGAATTTCACCAAACCCTAGTTGTAAAGTTCGCCACAAGAGCTCTGTATTAGTTAACGATTTATTCTTGTGGATATTGATATCCTTGAAAATGTGTACATTATTTACAGAAAATGTTTGATTAACAAGCTATCATTCTGATATATATATATATAGATACAATAATATGTGTAGATATATATTTGTTTTATTGATTTATTGTCTACCAAGTTTGTATCTATTTACCTAAAGGATAAAATATAATTTTCTATCAAATGATTTTATCTATATCAAGTTCACTGACTTTAGATGTTATCTGAAATATTATATTATTCAATAACGATTATATAAAACATCTAATATATAAAACATTTCTGTTATATTAATAACATAAATTGTCTATAACAATAAAAGTAGCTTCCAATATATATAAACGAATCGGTGTTGGAATGAACTTTATGTTTTACATTGTAGAGTGAATCATCCAAAAATTGTGTGATAAATTCCTCTGTTTTGATTATACATGTTGATCTTGTTTGTCCTGTCTACGTGTTTGTCTCACACGTCAGTGGTCACACGGAGTGTGTCCTTTTCTTTAATATTACCATTGTGAAACCAACCAAGGTCATATTACCTTATGTTTCATGTCATGCAAGTTATATATAACCTACCTAGGTCCTCATTACCTTATGTTTCATGTCATACAACTTATATATTACCAACCTAGTTCCTCATTACCTTATGTTTCATGTCATGCAACTTAAATATAACCTACCTAGGTCCTCATTACCTTATGTTTCATGTCATACAACTTATATATAACCTACCTAGGTCCTCATTACCTTGTATTTCGTGTATTAAAAATGACAACGTCAGCATGATTCAAAATCAACTAGAAGTAATGTTAAATCATCAAATAACATCAACAAGGTTCAAGAACAATCAATAGCGATATCAGGTTCTCAGACAACGTCAGCATGATTCAAAATCAACTAGAAGTAATGTTAAATCATCAAATAACATCAACAAGGTTCAAGAACAATCAATAGCGATATCAGGTTCTCAGACAACGTCAGCATGATTCAAAATCAACTAGAAGTAATGTTAAATCATCAAA